TATTTGTGAAAATATGCTAACACATGTGCACAAGGTGTTTGCAGGGTTGAGATGGGTTTGGGTCCCTCTCTCGGCGGGATTCGGCGCTTTTGGAAAAATGAAATGTCTATTTTCTATTGCGCCGGATGCAAAATTCTTGGTGGTTGGCACACTTGAGCAAGGGTGAAGAAGTAAGAGTTGAAATGGAGTTGATCGAAATGTTGCTGGCGTCGGTCCTGTGACCGGACGCTGAATCCAGAAGCACCGGACGCTGACTGCCTGCGTCCGGTCGCGCTGACTCGGCGGTACAGTGGCTAGGGGTTGAGCACCGGACGCTGTCTGCGTCCGGTCAAGGTGGACCGGACGCGTCCGGTCGAAAAAACATGCCTCGGGGAGCTTACTGGAAACGACCGGACGCTGGGGCTTCAGCGTCCGGTCAGTTCGAAGGAGCAGCGTCCGGTCGAGGCTGATGACCGTTGAGTCTGGACACGTGGCTGACATCGAGCGACCGGACGCTGAGAGCCAGCGTCCGGTCAGTCTGACCGGAGCGTCCGGTCAGAACGCGTTTTGCCCAGTGAAGGGGTATAACGGCTCTATTTGATGGGGGCTCTATTTATAGCCCCATGGCCGGCTCAAGGGATAACTCTTGCACATTTTCATTGACATAGCAACCTTGTGAGCTTAGCCAAAGCCCTCCCACTCATCTCCATCATTGATCCATCATCATTGTGAGATTGGGAGAGAATCCAAGTGCATTGCTTGAGTGATTGCATCTAGTGGCACTTGGTATTCGTGTTGCGCTGCGGATTTCGCTTGTTTCTCTTGGTGGTTGCCACCACCTAGACGGTTGGAGCAGCGGTGAAGGATCGGCACGAGTTGGTGATTGTTCGTGGCCGCCTTCGGTGATTGTGAGGGGAGTTGTACCTTCCCCGGCGGAGTGCCAAAAGGTAACTCTAATAAATTGCTCGTGTCATTGAGTTACCTCACTTGTGGGTCGGTTCTTGCGGTGTCCTATCGTGTGGACGAGGTTTGTGAAACACCTCTTAGCCGCCGAACCACCAAGTGTTGGTCGACACAACGGGGACGTAGCGTGTTGGCAAGCACGTGAACCTCGGGAGAAAATCGATTGTCTCTCTTCTTTGTCATTCTCCCGGTGATTGGCTATATATTCATCTTGTGATTGGTTCATCCCCTACACGTTGGTATAATCACTCTACTCGCTCATTTACATTCTTGCAAACTAGTTGATACAAGCTCTTTAGTGTAATTAGAATTGAGAGCTTGCTTTATTATTTACATTCATCTAGTTGAGCTCTTTAGAGTAGCAAGGTTGAGAGCTCTTAGTGAGTAATTACATAGCTAGTTTGTGTGCCTAAGTATTCATTGCAACTAGAATTGTTGGATAGGTGGCTTGCAACCCTTGTAGAGCTAGAGCAAGTTTGCATTACGCTATTTGTCATACTAATCAAATTGCACTAGTTGATTTGTAGATTTTCAAATAGGCTATTCACCCCCCCTCTAGCCATATTAGGACCTTTCAACTGCTCTACGAGATGTAGAGGAGGTCGTCCGCATGTGTGAGGGATGCCAGTTCTACGCTCGGCAAACTCATTTGCCGGCATAGGAGCTCTAAACCATCCCCATCACCTGACCATTCGTGGTCTGGGGCTCGACATGATAGGACCCCTCAAAAAGGGCCCGGACAGCTTCACTCACCTACTCGTAGCAGTGGACAAATTCACCAAGTGGATAGAGGCAAAGCCCACCACCAACATTCGCTCGGAAGAGGCAGTCAAGTTCTTTCTTGACATCATCTACCGGTTCGGTGTTCCTAACAGTATCATCACTGACCACGGAACTAACTTCACCAGCAAGAAGTTCCTGGACTTTTGTGATGGATACGGTATCAGGATCGACTGGGCCTCGATCGGACAGCTGCGTACCAATGGTCAGGTCGAGCGGGCCAATGACATGGTCCTCTAAGGACTGAAGCCATGCATCTTCGACCGACTCAACAAGTACGCTGGACGATGGGTTGTAGAGGTCCCAGCGATCCTCTAGAGCCTAAGAACGACCCCAAACCGATCCACAAGGTTCACACCCTTCTTCCTGGCCTACGAAGCTAAAGCAGTGTTGCCCTCCAACCTTGACCACGGTGCCCCAAGAGTGAAGGCCTTCGATCGAGACCGAGCTGTGGAGGCTCAGCAGGACGCGGTCGACCTGCTCGAGGAGGCTCGTGAGACGACCGTCATCCGTTACGCTCGCTACCAACAAACTCTCCACAGGTACCATGAAAGAAAGATCAGAGGGAGGATCCTCGAGGTCGGAGACCTCGTGCTCCAAAGAACCCAATCAACCAAAGAGAAACACAAACTCTCTCTGTCTTGGGAAGGACCCTATATGGTGACCGAAGTGATCCGACCGGGCACCTACCGACTGAAGGACGACAACGGCAACGTTCTCACCAACACTTGGAACATCGAACAGTTACGTCGTTTCTTCCCTTAAAATTCGGTCTTACCGTTTTCTTTTGTTTAACGTTTGCTCCTACAAGCACCCCAGCCCGAACACTTTTGGCTCGGGTCGCTCGGGGGCTCCACGAGGGTGCGATACCACCTCTCTTTTTTGCTATCATATAGTAAAAACTTTTACCCGAACGAAAGAGTAGTCCGTTCCTTTAATTACCCTACATAACTTTGTTTTAAATTCCCGACCGATCACACCCCGCCACGACCTACGGTTACGAGCAGCTGAGCCTTGCAGGCCACGCCCGAGTTCTTAAGGTTGCAGCCTATAGGTCAAACGGGCAGGTGCAAAAGAGAAAGAATAAAAAACAGAGCTATGCTAGGGTAAAAATAAAGAACGGATAGGGCAAGCTTTCTCTTACGAAGTGATTCATCACAAAACAAAATTGATGTATTCATCAATACAAATTGTTCACGCGGGGGCTTCCCCACGAACTTATCCTTTACATATGCTAATTACTTCTACTCTAAATACTACTGTGGCCGCCCGGCGGCATTGACTGATGGCGCGACCGACGAAGATAAGGGTTGCTCGCTCTCCGATGGGGCGACGTTCGGTTCGGTCGGAGGCGGGACGACGCTCGCTTCCAACCCAGCCTACACTCCATCCGCAGGCTGGGTGACGTCTTCTTGACACACGCCTTTAGCCGCGCTCGCACGGCGAGCCTCCATCACCCACTGCGCGGAGACTTGCTCGGCCACCAACTGTGCGTGTGGCAGCAAGCTTTCCCCGAGCGCATGGATGGCGTACGTGCTCTAGCCGTCAACGTACCCGCTGCAACTGACGGCGAAGTCCAGGTCCGGGTGGTGCATCGCCACTGAGGTCAGCACCCCCGACGCCCCGTAGAACATCCCGTCGGAGATGAGCGCCCGAACCTCGTTCAGGACCTCCGCCAGCTGGATGGCGGGTGTGCTGGTGCTCGGCGTCGACCCGAACATCTCCGAGACAACGACCTGGGCGACGTTGCAGATCTGATCGAGCTCCCCCTCGAGAGCACATCGCTCTTCAAGGGACTTGGCCAACGCCTCTGCACTCCAACCAATCACCGCCTTGGCTGTCTCTAGCTCCCGCTCCAGCGATCCAACCCTTCCGCCCAGTTCTAAAAGAAGGACGACAAGCTCAGAAGTAAGGGAAAAGAAAAACCAAGACCTCAACCAAAGACAGAACGGATACATACCGAGCTGGGTGCCTTCGAGGATGGAGAGCCCTTCCTCTTGCTGGGTGACCTTCTCAAGCAGTCGGACGTTCGACTCCTCCAGCCCGAGCGCCTGCCCCCGGAGCACGAGCACTTCCTGGTCGACCTCCGACCGGGCCTTCCGCTCCGACTCCAGAGACTCTAGGGACTTCTGGAGCGCAGTCTCGGTCTCCGCCAGGGACTTCTAGAGCGCTGCCTCGGTCTCCGCCTAGTGGGCCTTCGCCGCGTCGAGTCCCCGCTCGGTGGCAGTTCCGCCGTCCGCGGTCCCGTCGCCTCGGTCGCCCAGTCTTGGGACTCGCGATGGGCGGACTCCAGCTGGCGCTCAAAGCTCGGTGACCCGCCGCGACATCACGGCTTCCCACTCCATCCGAGCGTGCTCCTTCCGGAGGAAACGGGACTTGCGGCTAGACATCTCCTCTAAACCCTGCAAAGCGAGAAACAAACACGCTGAAACAACCAGCGAAAGACCAAGGAGTCAAGGACGAACACTAAAAATGCAGAAAACTTAGCTCTGCGACGCTGGAAAGATCGACCGTAACCGCCTGATGGACGGACTCGACCCGCTCCAAGGCCTCCTTGAGCCTCGCCTTGGTTTAGGCGAGATCGGACTCCATCGCAAGTCCTCTCTCCCCAAGTAAGTCCCAGAGCTGCAGCTCCTCCTCATCCCGAAGGATGAACTGAGCCTTCCTAGGGTCGTCGGGGCAGGGCCACACCAGGTCGTGGGTCGCCCCCTCAACTAATTGATCATTCTCCTCAAAGCTGTGGTCGATACTGCCAATGGTTCCAGCAGGCGATCCTTGTGGTCCAGATCTCTTCCTGCATCTTTTCTGTCTTAAAACTGGAGAATGATCATCAGCAGAAGATTGCTCTCTGGTGGTCTCTTTGGCATTTTCTTCTTCTCTATCCTCCTCAGCAGAGCCAGTAGGGGCGATATCAGGGGTAATGGTTCTAACTCTCCCCCGTGTTCTCCTATACTTCCTTGCAAAGGCAGTTGCAGTTGCTTTTGCCATAGAACGTTTCTTACCAATTGCATCGGACTGTCTTCGGAATGTTTCCTCTATGGCTTCTTGTATCTTTAATGGAAACAAATAATGGTGTGTTGATATTGATGGTTAAATATAATATAAGAATATAAAAAAATGAGTTTTGTATAAACAAATACAGTTCTGGTATTGCCAAAGGAGATGAGATAACCTTTTTATTCCTAATCATCTCCTGCTCACTGAAAGCAAATTCCTGCAGTGTCAAGTATATTAGAAGCACTTCATGGAGAAGCTAAATGAGGCTAAAAAACAAACAACTAAATGATGATAGGGCATATTGAGTTATAGACATAGGACATCACCTCTTCCTCATACTTATCAATATCTGGATACAAGGCTGCAATCAGCGCATCATACTTAGGATCGTCCCTCAAAGAACGTCTGCTTGCACAATGAGTGCGACACGCTGGGCATTCGTTATTTCTGCAAAATCAGAGCATTATCTTTATTATCAGATAAAACACTCTATTTATGATCTATAGACAAAATTAAACTGTAAATTCTACTTGTTGAAATTGATTGTGACACGATTTTAGAGAAAATGATGCCTGCCATCAACCATCATACCCTAGTCGCATAGATTTGTCAATGCAGTCTCTACAGAACCAGTGCAAACATTCCATAACTGTCCTTGTCTTCCGGATAATGCCTGCAAAATAGAAGGATTAGACTCCATGGTATATCATCATCTGACAAAAAATGATGCAAATCAAGAAATGAAATTCTCAAACTCTGAACCTGTAAATTATTGTAGTTAGTAACAAACAGATTTTCTACTTGGATTTGCTAGGGTTTCATCAAATATGTTCCTTAGCTTAAGATTAATATACAACCAGTTTAGCAAGTTTTCTGAAAAGAACAGGTGATAAACAGCATCATATGACCTATAGGAAATAAAACCATCAGAACCAGAAGAGTTATAGCCAGTGGATGTATTAAAATAAGAACGAGAAAGCGGACTACATCTAAGCAAACAGTTACATTTGGGGTAAACCATAAAAAATGACATGTATATATATGATACAAGGCAGCCATATTATCGTGCTACAATTAACTGGAAGATGAGTTTGTACTAGCAAACAGCTAGTGCAGACAATTCAATAGAGAAACACGGCTCCTTAATCTGAATGCTTTAGTCATGCTAGAAAACTGAAGAATAACAATGTAATATCCATATCCCTAAGCAAACTGAGAAAGGATTTTCTCACCTAAGCAGATAGGGCACTGAACCTCCTTCAGTATATCTGCTAATTTCACTAGCATAAACCTGAGAGAGACAGAACAGTTCACTATAAGCTTCAGATCATGTAAAACATCAAATATTCCAAAGTCCACAAACCTGAATAATGATCTTGAAGAGCAGTGAGATGCAGGTAAATATAAAGAAATGTAGCATCTATTTTTGTTCTTTTGAAACAAAAAAGATATAGCTATTTTATGACACTACACAAAGATCACGTAAAGCAGGAGGAAGTGAAGGTCGATTTTTAACTAACTAAAAAAATAATATTGAGCATACTTAAGTATTTAACTATCCAGGAGGTATGAGTAAGACATGTTTGAGACTGAAGCCGAGCTGTAGAATATATATTTCACCTTATGAATTTCTAAAGCATGTGCATTGCCGATTTGAAAACATGATGTGCATTACAAGTCGGAAACTCAACGTACAGCTAAAGCCACGGCAGACGACAGAGCAGTGCAGAATTTGAGATAAAACATGAAAGCAGTGGTTGAAGCACGATAAGCGCACAACAAAAAAGGGCAGCGCCAAGTTCCCAGCAGGCCGGCAATTTCAATCCCAGCTATGGCCTGCACCCTGACAGAAGCATGCATACATGTATAGGCCACGGCATTCCTGCCTAGCTCGAATGCACATGATGCATCATCGGCCTTGTCGGCTCGGCGATCGGTGCGTTTGCGTAGACGCGACCAGATCACACGGACTAAGCAAGTCACCGGTTCCTGTATGCACCGCCTCGAACGAGTCACTGGCAGGTCGGGTACGAGGAACCGGCGGGCGAGGCGCACGACGGCACGAGGCAATAGGCACCGCGACTCCGCAAGCAGGCCACAAGCATATCGTAGACAACCAAAGGGGTCCACAGGATCGGAGAGATAGAGCGTGGAAGAGGCCAAGAGGGAGGGAAAGCTCACTCGTCGGTGCCGCCGTGGTCGCTCTGCGAGGACTCACTGTCGCCGTCGTCCGCGCCGCCGTCACCCTCCGCGTCCGAATCTGCCAAACCCATCGAAGCACACACAGCACAAGCCGCCTCTTAGCCATATACGCGCGGTGATACAGAACGCGACATGCACATCGTGGGGTGGGAACGAGATAGGACTATAGGAGGGAGGCCGGCCTCGATCTCGATGCCGTCGTCATCAAGCTCACTCACCGTCTTCGAGTCTGCCCTGTGGCTCCGGGTCCGGGCCAGTCAACCTCGGCCTGGCGGCGCCCCTGCTCGTCAACGGCGGGCGCCCTCCTCTTCCTTCAACTACGCCTCCGCCGGCGGCGGCATCAGAGGTGGGACTGGGAGCCGCCACGTCGCCGTGGGGTTTCGAAGGCGGCGATGGGAACCGGCGCTTCTTCGCGGGCATTCTGTCTTTCCGCCCCTAAGTTGTTGGCTCTCGGATTGCGGCGATGGGCTCGAGGCGGTGTTCCGCCGCCCTGGCGAGACGTCTCTGTTCGTCAGTTTGTAGAACAAGTACGCTGAAAGGAAACCATCCAAGATGAAAACAGGTTGTAGACTCTAATGTCCGCATAGCTTACAGCAGGAGAGTAAGAATTGAAAAATGGCCAATTTTGATACTGCATGACAACAAATCAAACGACTTGCAACGGTGGCCAGTGGAACTGACAACTGAACAAGCTACCGACATATACTAGCAAGGTAAGAAGACTGGAAACAGAAGGTCCACTAAAAAGACAATCAAACCAAGTCAATTGCACTAGAGCCATAAAATATTCCTCTTAGTTCCAAAAACGCTAGGCATGCAAAAGAATGTTTCAGAAGATGCAGCACTAAGATATGTTCATCGGTTATTCACACAACTCTACTCCTAGCAGTATTGGTTATGTTGGTGTAGAGGTTACAAGACCTCAATTCAACTATTCAGTTCTTTTTTATGACGATGACGATGATGATGATGAGAACTCTTCAATTCATTAGGCTACAAATTAATTGTCCACGGATGCAGGAGGGAAGGACACGAGTAGCTAGCTCTTCGGGAGAAAAGAAAACGCACGAGGCTCTGAGCAAGAATCCAAATCATAGAAGCTTCTGTTAAGAGGTCATAAACTGAAACCAATTTGATAGAGCAACCCACATATCAATGCCGCAGGAAAATACCAAGCTCTTGCATCCCACGCTGTCAATGGAGAACCTGAAGAGGCCAGCGTGAGCTCGAGGGACTAGCATGAGATGTGACACGGCCTTGGTGGCTACGCGAAGCATTACATTATTGCTAAGGATCGTGAATTTTTGCTGCTCCTGCTACTCGCTGCCACAGCTACGCCATCCAACGAGAACAGTCACTACAGCGGAAACATGCACACCATCGAATGCCCGACTCCACGCACGCTCAATGCATGCTTCTAGCAGGGAACCATATGACCATGTCTCTTTTGCTGCCAGTGCTAGCTGGTGATCAGCTCGCGGACCCACGACCAGAGGTCATGATCAACACGTTCAATTATCGCACACGTTGTTCTACCACTCTCCCCTCATTCCACCGGATCGCCTTGATGGCCACGGCCCACGGGAGACAATCTGGGAGAGGTCGGTCGGAGAGGGTGAGAGTACAGGGGAGCGGAGTGGGGCTTACTCATCTATGCCACCAGCGCCAGCGCTCAGGCCTCAGGGTCGACTCGCTGTCGGTGTCGACTTCGTATCCTCGCACCCACCTGCTCGTCGTCGGGATCTGCAAAACCTCTCAGACACATCCAGGACCCAGGGAATCGATGTCCAAGATGACGTGTGTAGGTGGAGAGGCAGAGGCGCTGCCTCGTCGTTCATCTACTAACATAAGGTTGATATATACCCTTATGTATCAAGTTTGTGATAAGTGATTTGTAGAAAATGATCGGTTTTGGTTGAGTTTGGAGACTAACTATTGCGTGAGTGTGTATGCAGCATATCTCTTGGTTGTGTTGTTGTGCAGTTGTGGAGCACAGAGACGATCGACAGACTTGGGATCTCGAGTTTGGGAGATTTGTTTGGATACTACTTACATGGTGTTTGCTGTTTGGATCGGTCAGGATCAGAATGACCGCCATAAGGCAAACAACAAGGCCAGAAATGCTTTCTTCTCTGTTCTTGCACTTCCCGAGTTTGAGCATGTGCAGAACCTTGAGACAGCTCGGGAGATCTGGTCCACCCTCGAGAGATATCATGAGGGCACTTCTCATGTCAAAACTGGACTCGAGACCCACCGTCGAGAGTACAAGAACCTTGTTGAGTCCGTTGATTCGAGGTTTTCTTGCTTCCGGTCAATCGTGAACAAGATGCAAGCAAATAAGTCGTAGCTTCCCTATGATGATCATGAGAGGGGCTTGAAACTTCTACATGCCCTAGATCGGAGGGTTTGGGAGATCAATCGACGAACTTTTCAGCAAACTGAAGTCTAAAGAAATAAACCTCCAATCTAGAGCCAAAATAGAGAGAACCCATCTGCGCCTACCATGGCACTTAGTCCAGATCTGGAGGATCTTATGCTAACTCCTCACCTACTATGGCTTGCAGACGATGAGCTAGCGTTGGCAATCAGCCGGTTCCAGCGGTTTCACGGCAACCGCAAGAACTGTCGCCGTGGTGGACTGAGTTGTTTCAGTCCGATGCTTGGAACAGTGTCCCCGTTTAGTCCGACGTGCCATGTTTCCTAACTGTCGGACCTTGAGTTGCTCAGGTTGCAACTTTCAGTCACGTTCTGCAGTTCGTTTAGGCTTTTCAATAGCTCATCTTTATACTATGAATCCTGGGTCCAAAAGCTGGCCGGCGAGAGTGGCCACGTCGTGGGCTTTTCGCGGCCGTCGGATCGGGCACGCGGTGAATCCTGGGTCCAAAAGCTAGCCGGCGAGAGTGGCCACGTCGCGGGCTTTTCGCGGCCGTCGGATCGGGCGCGCGGACGGCCTAGATCGGGCGATCTGCGGTCATTTTACTAAAAACCCCTTCAACTTTTCAGAAATCAACCCGCGCTCCATAGGCCCTCTCAGAATATTTTGCAAAACACACCTCAGATTATTCCCAAATTAACCCACAGTCCCGAACGGATGGTCTCTGGTTTTCTTTTGCAAAAAAGTCCTTCACTTTATCGAAAATCAACCCGCGCTCCAGAGACACTCTCAGCATTTTTTTCGAAAACCTCCTCAGATTTTTCTAAAATCAAAATACAGGACACCTTTGATTATATCTCTTTTTTTTTGACCTCATGGCTTGTAACAGCGAATGGTAGAGCGCCTCCTCCGTCTCCAGCGCGGACTGCTGCAACCCGTACACGCCCACGATCTGCTGCTTCGTCAGGGGCTCCACGTGGCTCAGCAGCATCTGTATGTGTATATATATACACACACAGACACGTGCAATTACTTTAATTAAGCATCTAAACGACATGCTCACATGCATGATATATGCAGCAGTTCATACGTGACCTGGGCCATGTATACGTACGCACTCATTATGCAGATGTGATGGAACGATAATGAGCCGACTAACGGTCTGTTTGGCACGGCTTCTACCGGCTCAGGCTTCCTGGACATCGATACTGTAGCGTACTGTTCACTCGCACTGTTCATCGGAGCCGGAGAAGCTCGTTTTCATGGTTTCTCCGGCTTCATCTCCCGCATGCTACAGTACCCACGCTACAGTGACACAGAAACGTTGGAGGGAGAAAACCGTCTCATCGCTACAGTGATCAGCGTAGATTTTGTCAGGCGGAGCCGGAGCCAGCGGAAGCCGTGCCAAACGGGCCCTAAGCTTGACTTGCCGCCCCAAAGTTTCAGTTCTTTTAGGTGGGCCTCGCATGTCAGTCTGATTTTTTTTCAAAAAATAAATTAGTTGAGACTTTAAAATTGCATAGTAAATCAAAAAAAATTATAAATTAGAAAATCAAGTTGATCTGAAATCCTAACGAGTACAACTAAAACCTAACGAGCAGAACTATGCAGTGCATCCATCATATCACATGTTTTAGTAAGAATTTTTTCATATAAACTTTTACATGTGCTTTTAGGGGTAAATAAAATTATACCTTCGTGATGATAAACTCTCGAAAATACATACAAATCATAAAATGAACAAAAAAAATTGCTGATTTACTCATCACTACACCTATATTCTTATCGCCACAGGTCTAATCGAAAGGGAAGGTGCGGCAAAGCCGCGCCCGCGTTTCTAGTCAATTCTTATGTGTGTTTTGTCCTGCCCTTGCTGCAGCAAATCTGATCTTGTTGGTCTTCGTGTGTGCTGCTGCTAGTCTTGTTCTTTCTGTCTTTTGCCGTGTATAGTAGGAGCCATTCACGTTGAAAAATCTGATTTGAAGTCTTGCTTGAGAAAGGTCTCTTTCAAGCTACAGTAACCTTCTTTGAATATTCTTTTCTTCCTTGCTAGAGTTGGTTTCACTCAAAAAAAAAACACTCCATTTTTGATTTTGCATCCGCTATGATTTGAGAAATCCCTTATTGTTCTTAGGGTCAACATATAACGAGTTGGTACGTGTAATCCTGACAATTAGAAGAGAGATTATTGTGTTGAATTTTTTAATTGGCTCCCATTCCTCCCATAGTCCCATCCAGTCGCCTTCTTCGTCGTCTCACAACCGTCCCGAGGCTCCTGATATGACGGGCTTTCCTGACGTGAGGACTCTCCATCCATCTCACGTGAGGTTCTGCCCCTGCTTCCGTCACCGCTGGCAGGCGGCGGCGGCATGCCTCAATACATCGCGACCGTCGGAGTTGTCAGGGGACGGGCTACGGGAACAGGCGCTTCTAGGCGGGCATTTCGTGATGAGGACATTACTCCGCCACGTACAGGCGAGGAGAAGGTCCAGCATTCCTAATGGTGGAGGCCCTTGAGTTTATCTCGGGAACGCATACATATTTCGTTTTCGACGATCCCGATATGCTTGGAAAGATAACTTGATAAGCTATCCAATGGCTTTGGTTTCACGTCAAAATCCTTCCAGAGTCAACGGGAATCGTCGAAACAAGTGAGCGTCCAGAATCTGGCAGGGTGCTGCGACACCGTCTTTTGGTCCGTTGGATCGTGTATCGTCTTAGAGCCCATCAGGGAAGGGGGCGTCCAGGGGTGACGCCCAAGACTCTATAATTAGCCGCCGCCGCTCTCGTTAGGGTTTGGGTTTTGTTGCGTTCTTGTTTTCATTGAGAAACAGACATTGTTTGTTGCAACTCATATCGCCAAAATCGTTTGCTGTTAAACTAGGGCCTCTGTTCTTGATCTTGTTCGCCTGTGGCGATTAGTCCTTTCGAATAAAGACTTGAACTTCTTCTCATATTCATAAGCCTCATATTTATTTGCAATTTCAGATTGCGATTATCTGTTCTTGCTTGTGTTCTCGATTCGCTTGCAGGAAAGCCTTCTCGG